TTCTTTATATTGTTGAGTTAATCTGATATCTCTGTGTCTGTGGGAATAAAATAACACAGATTAAATTCAGGGCATGGCAAAGGTACAACAATGATACAGTGAAAAAAGTAAGCAGAAAAAGATGAGATCTAAGGTTTGTGTGCTTCAAGACGCTCTTTTTTTGGTGTGGTGGTGGTAACGGAGATTGAATCTAGGGCCTTGCACACTTGTACATAGTAGGCAATATACCACCACTACATTTAGGAACGTACTACATTCCTATCCCCAGTTTTTTTTTTTTTTTTTTCTCTTTGTATTTTAGGGAAGGGTCTACAAGGGGTTTAGGGTCTCACTACTACACTGGACTCATAGTGATCTGCTTGTTTACAGCCTCCCAAGAGCTGGGACTACAGACATGCGCCACCATGCCCAGTCCCAATTGTTAGCTCAGTGTGCCCTGGGGGACGCAGGGCCAGCACGGCAGGCCTGGGAATTGAACCCCCGGCCCCTGCCTCTGCTTGCAGGTGCTTTAATCTGCTGAGCTATTTAGCCAGCCCTCCCAGTTCTTTTTTGTTTTATTTTTAAGACAAAGATGCTCAGATCTTGAACTTGTGACCCTCTTGCCTCTGCTTTCTGAGTAGCTGATCCTATAGGTATGCACTATCTATCATGGCTAGCTAAGGAACATACTTTTACCTAGAATGCAAATCTAAAAGCTTATGATATCATAAGGAAGTTTTGATAAACAAAGAATTTTTGATAACAATTTTTTAGTGATCCTTTGCTTACATTTTGATAAAAACACAAAGCCAGGAAAATATATTTCTATAACTCATTTCTTTTGGTCACAATTATACCTTTATGCAAAATTAAATCATTTTCTCTGGTATATTCATTCTCTGGCCAGATTCTTGGACAACAGACAGTCTCCGCCCACCCCCAGTGCTATGAGTTTAACTTGGGGTCTCCACACTAAGTTGTATCCCCACCCCCTTTCTGTTTTTATTTTGAGACTAGGTCTCATTAAGTTGCCCAGACTGGGCCTGAGCTTGTGATCCTCTTGCCTCAGGGACCCAGAATTCTGAGATTACAGGTGTGAGCTACTTACACAGCTGGCTGGCTGTATAACAGTACTGTACTTAAAGTATGGTGATGTACTCTGTAATCCCATCTGTGTGGCATGCTGGAGCAGGAGGACCTCAAGTTTGAGCCTAGCCTGAGCAATGCAGTGGCTCAGTGAGACCTGTCTCAAATAAGAAGGGCTGGAGAGGTAGCTCAGCGTGAAGCTCTTGGTTTAGTTTCCACTGCAGATGGGAGGGGATGGGGAAGGGAGAAGAAACTCAACCTCAAGTGAGGCACTGACCTCTGTCTCTGCTGGTTTTTCTTTTCAGTGCCATTCTCAGTTTTTCTTCTTCTTCTTCCTTTTTTTTGGACAGAACTGGGGATTGAACTCAGGCCCCTGCGCTTGCCAGGGAAACTCTGATTCCACTGAGCCATCTCCCCAGCTCCTCAGTCTTCCTTCTTTAGCTCAAGTAGAAGCTACTTCCTTGGGTGGCCTATTTCTAAGGAAGATTAACTACTTTTTGACATCAATATATTATTCTCCTTTGTGTCTAATTCTCTAATAAGGTCAACAAATTCAGGATTAAAACTGAAAGGGAAGGAACATGGACTAAGAGAAATAAGCATGTTGTATTGCTTTGGAGAGTTCTCTGTATACATAGATACGTACATTGGTTCACTTGGTGTGACTTTAAAGCAAAGAGTTGGTCTTGTCCAGTCTATTGAAATACAATAGCTATGGAGAGAAGTAGGAGAGGAAATGGAAAATAGAAGCAGAAACATATGGCTTTGATATGGCTGCATAAAAACTGTATTTTAGCTGGGTGTCGTAGTACACACCTGTAATCCCAGCACTCAGAGGGCTGAGGCCAGAGGACTGCCAAGAGTTTAAGGCTAGCCTGGGCTACACAGTGAGTTCAAGGCCACCCTGAAGTACAAACTGAGATCTTATCTCAAAAGACCAAACAAGCAGTGCAGTAAACCCAACCCAACCCAACCCAACCCAACCCAACCCAACCCAACCCAACCCAACCCAACCCAACCCAACCCAAACCAAACCAAACCAAACCATTATTTTATTCTTTGGGAATCCCTGAGGATTTCATGCTTGGTCAGGATATTAGTTCAGTGGTAGACTGATTGCTCTGCATCTCTCCTTTCAATCCTCTGAGATGTCCTAGGCTGGGAGAGCACATTGGAGCACGAGTTGTCTGAAGTTGATCTCAAATGCTTATTAGGTAATTTTAGGTTAGCCCTTTTCTTAAACACGCAGTTGCTAACTCTATGTATTAAGCACTGACAGCAATATAAGATTTACAGTAATCCTTTACACCCTACCTCTGTGGCTTTACTTTTTAATGTTTATTGGTACCAAGTGTCAACTACAGTCTGGAAATACTAAATGGAAAATATCAGAAATAAACACTTCATACACTTTAAATTATGTGCTGTTCTGAGTAATGTGATGAGATCTCATGCCATCTCACTTGTCCTAATGGGGTATCGAATCCTGCCTTTGTCCAGTGTGTCCATGCTGTATGTACTACCTGCCCACTAGCCACTTAGTAGCCCTATTGGTTATTTTAGGATTACAGTACTATAGAGTCTGTGTTCAAGTAACTGTAATAATGGCCCTTAAGCCACTACTGGCAATTTTGATATGCCAAAGAGAAGACATAAAGTGCTTGCTTTATGTGAAAAGTACAATATGATATTCTGACATTCATATAACTTTTATTACAGTACATTGTTAAAATTGTTTTTATTATTAAATAGTGTTATAAATTTTAAGGGTTAGTGAGAGAGCTCAGTAGACTAAGCACCTGCTTAGGCAAGTGCAGGGATGGAGTTCGATCCCTGGCACATGTGCCACGCTAGCCCTGCCCCCAGGAGCGCTCAGCTGGCCACAGAATCTGGGTGTGGTGGTGCATGCCTGTAGTCTGAGGATTGAGGAGTCTAAAACTCGGAGGATCACTACAAGTCTGCGCTGTGTAGTAAGACTCTGTATCAAATACATTAAAAAAAATTCAAACTGTACCTAATTTATAAATTAAACTTTATCATAGGTATGTATAAATAGGAAAAGCTATAGTACCTATACGGTTTGGTCTACTTGCAGTTTGGGGGGGGTCTGAAAATCTGTAAGGGGGAGACTACCATACAACAAAATCCTTTTGAAAAGGCCATACAATTTATGTAACACACTGAGGCTGTTTTTGGTTTGTTCCTAAAATTCTGTGCCGAGATGCTAACAGCTGAAGAATGTCAAACGTATTAGTCATAGGATTTAGTTGAGGCACACATTAATGGTCTCTACTACTACAAAGATGGGGGAGGGAGAAGAACATACTCTGGCTCATTCCTTTGTGCTCTGTACTACTGTAGGTGCTTATCTCTGAGAACTCACTTAATTCTCACCAATCCCAAGAAAAACGTACAATATAATGCTTTTCTATGGGTAAGAAAACAAAGACTCAAAACCATCATGTAACTTTTTCCAAAAGTCATAGTTCTAGTGGTAAGACAGACATACACATAACCCGACTCAATAATTCCACTTCATTCCACTATAGCATGTTTCTTTTAAAATTTTTTTCTTCATTATGGAAAATACCATACATTCTACTGCCTGGTTTACCACCACTATCAGAATCTGGAACTAATTACCTAATGAATCAGCATGAATTAGGTGGAGCAGCATGCCCACAAGTACAGCTGTCTGTGGAACACAGTCACACAGGCAGTAAAACCCCAGCATCATCAGATTTTCAGGCTCTCTGATGTGAGAAACAGTCAAGTTTGGCCTATCTTATTTTTGTGCCAGAATAAACTCTGGAGTTACATTGTTGGAGTCTTGTTTCCAGGAATTCAATATTTTTAACTTTTGAAATCACCTACTTTTGTTTTTTTTGAGTTGATAAAGATTCTCAAGTTAGGGTTAAGTTTATGAGGAAAGAGTGCGGGGGGGGGGGCAGTTAATTAATAATGTCTGCCATGGATGCAAGCATAGAGAATGGTAGTACTTGCCACATTTTAGTATTGTATCCCTCCTCTCCTTACCTACTTAATATTTTATGACTTTGGGCTGGTGATTCAGTTCCTTTAAGGCGTTTAAGGCACATGGGAAAAATGATACATTATCTAAATGCAGAGTGATGAGATTATACCATTTCATCAAGTCTTTATCAGTTATAGGGTTTGAGATATTTTATTCTTACTTTTTTTTGTTATTTCAAGACAAAGTCTTGCTATGTAGCCCAAATTAGACTCAATCTCATGATCTTGTCTCAAGTGTTAGGATTACAAGTGAGTACTAATCACCATTTTATTTATTTATTTATTTTTTTTTGGGCAGAACCAGGGATTGAACTCAGACCCTTGTTCTTGTCAGGGTAGTGGTTATTCTATTGAGCCATCTCTCTGGCCTAGTCACCATTTTAAAAAGGTTAATAATAATTTAAAATTAATCCTGTTAGAAGATGAAGAGCTGAAAAATATGTCAGAAATGTTTAACGCCTATCTTTTTTTTTTTTTTTGTTGTTGTTGTTGTTCCTCGCATGCCTTTAGGGCACGTTTGGCCAGCAGGAGAGTTGTGAGGTTCGAACTCCAGCCACCTGAGGCTGACAGCTTTGTGGAAGCAGCCACTTAAAGGACTGAGCTAGGCCCAGGCCCCCTCAACACCTATCTTAAGCACAGCTTGTGATGGGTCACAAGAGATTATTTAGGGAAAACACAGGAATGTAAGGAAATAGTCTAAATATCTGTGTAGGTGTTGAATATTAAAGAAATAACATCATGAGAATATAATTTACTAGCCCTCATCCTAGCCTTGCTTTGAGAACTGCTGTTTTCTCCATGGGAAGTGTTCAATGAGGAACACCCCTCATTACTTCGTGTACCTGTGCTCCATGCTCTAAGCACAGAGGCTCGGATTCATTCACTACAGACCTTTGTCTTACCTGGGATCACAGAGAAATTTAGTCTTTTCTCCTTCTTCTCTCCAGATAAGCCATTCTCGAAAAGAAGGGTGTACAAACATCCGAGTCATGTCTCTGCGCTTGATTAGGAACATGGAGAGGTTCTCCATTCTCTGCTGAAAGTCCTCCCATTCTAGTGTGCCTTCGATGCTACCCGCATTGATGGCCTCAAAGATGTGCTCATCAGTCAGCGGGTGGAGTGAGGCGACCGCCACATTCAGGAGGGGCATCACCCGGTCAAAGGAAGACTGCGTTGGGAACTTCATATTGCATTGGAGTAAATAGACCTCTGAGAGGGAAACAGGAACCACTTTGTAGCTAGAACTCTTCAGCACTAGATAGCCTTTTTCTATGAGGTCAAACGTGAGCTTCAGGTACAGATAGGAGCCCTGGCTGAGAGTCTTCAGATGAGCACTTAGTTTGCCAAAGGTAGCATTGTCCATTTTGCCGTTGAGTGAAATGTTATTCTGGATCTCTGAGCTGCTGTGAATCCGGTGCAGGATGTAAGCCTGCAGGTCCTGGTCTATGGCTTCATTCTCGTCTAGTCGATCCAAAAAGATCCTATGGAAAGGCAGCAACTTGGTAATTTCCTAAAATGGATGGAGAGAGACAGAGACAGAAAGACCTTCAGTTTCCCCTAACTCTTGAGATAAACTATGATATCCACAAATTTACTCTGAACTTCTTAGTGGTCAAAGAAAAGAGGAAAACATAACCAATCTAGTATCCACAGATTAAAACGAATTAGTTGTTCAGGAAGGATACAAAACACTTTTCCTAATACTGAGATGTAAGAAAAATTTTCATGGGTCTTTGTAAAGAGACTTTAGGAATCATTTCATGCTCAGCATTGTAAACAACCTTTCTATTATAGAGTTGGAATGGAAAATGGTGTGCTGTACAACTCTGGTTGTAATTTTTTTCCCAATGTAAACCATGGCATAAAGCCAATTCAGTTAAGGAAATGTAAGGATTCAAAGAGTATCATGTAACTGTAGCTTTCAATAAAAAGAAAAACAAGAGTGTAGCTTTATGATTTTTCTCATAAAATGATTACACTTAACAGAGGCCTTGAGGAGATTTTTGAGTTAAAGGTATACCTCTGATGGCAGAGAGCTTGGTGTTTTGGCGACTGGCTCGAAAATGATGCTGGGGAAGGCAGCTTAGTGTGGACTCTGATGCACCAGATTCCAGCATTCTTGTGTCTGCAGAGACTCTGTCCCTGCAAGTGCCCCTTCACCCTTTTATATCTATTTCTTCTTCCCAACTGAGTCACACAGGTATATAACCCCTTGCCTCCTTCCATGTACAATATAAGTCTAGGCTACAAAGTGAACTCAAGGCCAGCCTGAACTGCATAGCGAGACCGTCTCAAAAAGACAAAAAATTTAAGAAAATAAAAGGTATATCATTTTCATCACTTTATAAAGCACTTTGGATAGGTCATTCCGATGTGCCCTATTTAAAACAACTATCATCTCCATTTATTACTTAATGTCATTATATTTTTTGTTATAACACTAAATGTAACACTAAATGTAATTTTAGTATATATTTAATTTTTATTTCTTTCTTTGTGTTTCAAACTAGAAGATAAGCTCTATGAAGGCAGGGATATTATATGTCTTATAAACTGTTGAACGTTCAACCTCCTGAACAGTGCCTCATACAATCCAAGTACCTAAGAAATGTTTGCAGAAATGACTAATTAGGGCCGGGGAGATAGCTCAGTAGAATAAGTGCCAGCCTGGCAAGTATAAGGTCCTGAGTTCAATCTCTAGTGTCAGAAAAAAAGAAAAAGAAATGACTAATTAACTATGGCATTACTTTTTAAAATCTATGATTTCAGAATGTCGATGCTGTATGAAATTACTTTTTTCATGTACTGCAGATTAAACATAGGACCTCACTCATATTAGGCCAATGTTCTACCACTGAGCTGTATCTCCAGCCCATGAAAATAATTTAAAAAAATTGTTAGTTGAAGGACTAGGGATGTAGCTTAGTGGGCAAATGCTTTCCTAGCATGTATGAGGCTGGGGGGCTAATCTCTATGTAAAGACAATGAAACATGGACTTTGTAGATTAATATGTATAGCACCTTTCCTCTTCTGTTACACATAAAAATTAAAGTTATCTGTTCTACCCAGACATACTTAATTTTTTTCCTGCAATTTCAGATGGAATTATGTGAAAGTATATTGTAAGGATAATACTGCCTAAACATACATTTGATAAAAACAGAGATATGTTCCTGGAGGCTTGTTTTTATCTTTCATCTTAATCAAACTGTTAAGACAATTTGTTGTGAAGATATATTTATGTTGATTCATATACATTTTTAACTCAAATTACTTTGAGATTAATAATAAACACAACTAAGGAGATGGTCAGAATTGAAAAAAAAAGAGCTTCTGATCATGGAAGGCAGTAAAAATAACTGGCAATAGTTAGGAAAAATAAGAGCCTGAGATAAGGGAAAGGGAGAACTTGATGCAAGATTTTGTGTATTAACATTTATCACCAGGAGTTGTGTCAAAATAGTAGATAGGTAAATAATATACAATATTTTAATATCCATCATAAGAGGATTTCTTGGGTAGTATTGGGGATTGAACTCAGGGCATAACAAACAGTAGGCAAGTACTCTAGCACTGAGTTATATCACTAGCCTGTTTGTTTGTGGTACTTGGGACCTTGCACTTGCCAGGTAGGTGCTTATGCTACTGAATTATCTCCCAGGCCCCTTTTTTATTTTTTTGAGATAAGCTATTCTCAAGCTTGTGTTCCTCATATGTCAGCCTCCCAAGTAGCTGGGATTACAGTTGTGTACCACCATACTTGATGAGTGTCCCCCTCCCCGACACTATGTGTGAATATGCACAGAATGCCAATTTGACTACAGTGACAATGGTGGGAAAGGTGGAGTCATTTATGCTTAGCCCGTATTATTTTTACAGGATGTAGTTGCAATTTCTGGTCCATCACCTAGGCCAGTAATGGCATACCTTTTAGAAATTTCAACGATGCAACAGCCTACTGCAGTACATGTGCCACATGTTCACCACCACTAAGTAGGCCATTAGGTGACTAGTCATAAGCAAGGAGGATAATAAAAGAGGTTAAAAAAAACCCTTTACTTCCCAGTTGCAATAAATTTAATCTAAAGCCTTAATACTGTCAACATTTGTCAGAAGATAGCAGAATGTCTACATTCATGCTATAGAAAAGTTGTTCACATAGAAACAGAGGGAAGAGCCAAAAAAGTCTAGAGATGGTAGGCTGAACTAGATTTCGCATAGCATTAAAAGATTTAGAAGTGAAACAGAAGACAAAGCTCTGAAGATTTTCTTTATACTGCTGTCCTCAGGATAAACCTAGGAAATAGGGTCATTTTACCAAGCTTTATCCAGAGGGCTGGGAGTAGGAATCACATCTCTTACTCTCGTTGGGAACTATTCTTGGTAATATTCTAGGATACAGTAGAGGTTTAGAAAACATCTTTGCTAAGGGAACTAGAGTCTGGAATCTTCTCAGTTTAAGCCTTTTCTAAGGGAAGTAAGTTATAGTTCACAAACAAACAAATACATACCTGTAAACTGGTCCTAACTGTTACAATTAGTTTGAGCCAAGAAGGAAATTTTCCAATCATTTTACTCAGAAATGATACAATTGTATCCCCATAATCCGGTTTGTGAAATTCTGCTTCATTTAATCCATCAATTAAAATGATGAAATCTTCATCTGGGATTTTTCTCTCTGATATAAGAAAGAAACAAATTACTTAATAATTACCAAGTAGAAATATGAGCTTTTTCTGGGTCTTTAATCATGTCCAGAAAAAAAAAATTAGAAAAGGCCTCTCATGATGCCTTGAATAATCAGGGATATGAAAGAATTCATTTACTGAATTCAATTGTGTTGTTTTGTGTGGTATAAAAGCTTTTGTTACATATATGTGAGACTATAAATCACAATTTTCAGGAATATCTATTTTATCAGTTATGAGACAATTTGAGCAATGGAGTTGTAAGAATTTGCCATAAAAGTTCATTTTTCTCTCACACATGAAAAAGCTAAATAGAGTATGTTTGTTTTTTTGTCCCCCATCCAAGAGCATTAAAGAGAATACTATCTATGTTATATTTGGAATTTCCCAAAAAAGGTTTACCTTAAAGTCCAAACTAGTATAAGAGACTACATGTGACTATGTATTGGGAAGGAAGGGATGAATAGAAATGGAACCTTAACTAATAGACCCAAACTAGGTAGGTTATTTCGGAAGATCTTTGTAGCTTCCTGGGCCACACCCAAAGTAACCTCAATTAGCCAGTATGATCTTCCCAGGGAAGAAGGAATGTGGAAAAACCCAAATCTGTTGTTTGTATTCAATACCCTTCTAGTACCACTAGAGCCCAGACTGGCAAATTTAGTTTATTTCTGAGGCTCAGCCAAAGAAGGAACGTAGTAAGGCTTTAGGCTTCTATCTCATTAAATGCTTTTCAATCTTAAATAACACTGAGCAAATAGAATTTTTAAAATCCACAGGTCAAATGAACACTTTAGCATAAATCAACTGTGAGTAATAAATGAAAGTTACTAGCAGGTAGGACTGTATACATTTTGAAGAGAAGAAAGCAAGAAATCATTAAGTGTCTGATCTAGAATTTTTTTTTTTTTTAAATGTACTTGGCACAGGATCCTACTATGCAGCTGGGACTTGTAATGATCCTCCTGTTTTCAGCCTCCCCAGTGCTAGGATTACAGGTGTGCACCACCATGCCTGGTTTTGGTGGCCAGCTCAGCACACCTGGGGATAGGGCCTGTGCAGCATGTGGTGCCAGAGACTGAACCCCTGTGCTTGCCTAAGCAGACACTTTGTTCACTGAGCTATCTTACCACCCCAAATGGAAGATTTTTTTTTTTTTTTTGGTGGTATTTGGGATCACACTTGGGACTTTGTGCTTGCCAGGCAGGTGCTTATGCTGTTGAGCTATCTCCCCAGCCTAGAAGTAAGTTTTATTTGTGGAGGAAAATGAAAATGAAGCTGAGAATAAAAAGCTCAGAATAAAGTCTAGACTTCTAAATAACATAGGATATTTTTTGTCTTTATAATAGTCAAAGACAAATTATACATGCTACTTTTGTTTTACACTTGAATTTACACGTAAGCATTTATATTCTTCCTCTAAAGTAAAGATCTGTGTAAAGGAATTTAATTCTAGGGGGCCTGCCCATTAGCTCAGGTGTTTAAGTGCCTGCTGAACAAAGCTGCCAGGCTCAGGATGCTATGGTTCGATCCCCTCATCCTTAAGCCAAAACCAGACCTACCCTGAAGGCATCCTGAGCATCTCCCCCACAAAAAAAAAGAATTTAAATCTAATACTCTAAATTGTATAAAGTAGTTTTTAGATTATTGCTTTATTGTGGTGATACTTTAGGAAAAGAAATGAACTGTGGATTCCATTTCTATTAACAATAATTATTAATGAAGTGACATTCTAGGTAATGTATGACTATGACAAAATACTCAGGGAATCCAAAGAATTAAGAAAAAGGGAGGACTTGCTCAGAACTAAGCAAGATTTACTCAAACAATTGGGGGCTACTTGGTTCTTGATTTTAAGGACTCTGGCTCCCCAAGCTTAACTGTGTCTCTAAGTCTCACAGAAGAGTTTTTTTTACTGGTGTCTTTTTTATATTTTTATTTATTTATTTATTTATTTATTTATTTATTTATTTATTTTTACTGGTGTCTTCTTGGCTGAGCACCACCACCTATTCTTGCCCAGGGGTACACAGGAGCCATCCTGTGTGTGGTTCAGGACAGTCTACTGCAATATTTGCAAGAGCTAAAGTTTCTCAAAATAGTTGGTAGCCTGAAAGTGGGTATGGTGAGAATTTCCAAACAATGGAAATTGGCAAGCATTAAAATCAGCTTTTCTCCACAAAGCAACGTGATCGATGACATAGAGTGTGCCTAAGGAGAGTCACCTGGAGAGAAAACATTCTCTCAGGCTTTCACAGAGAGCACATTGGCCAAGCAATGGCCGTGACTCAGCCACATGGCAGCCACTGACAAAGGATCTACAAACTATGGTACGGGGTTTCAGGGTAAATCCTGAGGGGATAAATCCTGAGGGGATTTGACTGACCTTGGCAGATACAAAAGTTACATTTCTTGTTATATAGGTCTTGCTTTATCTTGGTCTTAACCATCCAGCAGAAAAGTATAAAAACAAGGTATATAAAGTAAAACCATATTAATATGTGAAGCTGTGAAAGGCTCAAGTCAACAACTTTTGTGGATAACCCACTACTATTGTGGACTGCTGGACCGTGTTGGATTGTTTTGCTGAATTCATGCACCTATAGTATTTAGATGTCAATGGAATACCCACTTCTGACAGGACTAAACAAAAAAAGGGGATACGAAGGACCATTTTGTATCTGTATATGCAGAATAGTTAGGATAGATATATAGCTACTTTCGCTTAATTCAATGAGAAGAAAGAGGTGTACTAATAGTGTTTGGACAGGATATCCTGTCTGCATCTTGTACTATGGATAACCACTATGAAGATAACAATGTACAATGTATTAATTATTGAAACTGTCCTATTAATCAGTTTTGAAACTGTCTTATTGCTATTTGTTTCTCAATTAAAAAAAACAGCTTTTCTGCCCTTGACTGTTAAATCACACAACATTCTGCCTACATTCGTTAGTTGTATACCTCCTCTAACTTCACACAGGTTCCTTCCAAAGAAAGATGCAGTCTTCAAGTAGAGAAAGGCTAGTCATAATGTATCAATAGAGCTTTTTCTTTCTTCTTTTTTAAAGAGGAAAAACAGTACAAAAACATCCTTAAGCATAAACACCAACAATGTGCTCTATAAATTAGATGTAGATGTGGTGGCATATGTCTGTAATCCCAGTACTTAAAGTGCTGAGGCAGGAAGATTATCTAGAAACTGAGGTCAGCCTGGGTTGCAAATGGTTCAAGAGCAAGCCTAAACTACATGGTGAGAAGTGAAACCCTACCTCAAAATGAAAAAGGAAAAGAAAAGCAAAAGAGTAAGAGCAAGAGAAAAAGAAAAAATGTGCTCTAAAGTACGACCTCAACATTTTAATGAATGAGATAATTCATTTGCTAATAAAATTAATCTTTCATTTGTACAAATTCCCAGTAGAGTATGTTATTTATTCCAGGAGTAAATAAAAAAAGACAATATGCCATTTTTTCTTTTAAAAAACGAAATATTTTTTCCTTCTAATCAAGATGCAGATATTCTTATAAATCCTAGTTTTAAAAAAAAGAAAAAAAGATTCCCCTTTGAAGGAATTGCCTATTACCCATGAACAGGTATGTAAGTATCAACAAGTATGTCATCAGTTAAGTAGCAGAAAAGCATGTTTACCTAGGTAGGGATATTATAAAGACTCAGAACAATGAATGAAAAGAATTTTCTGATACTATAAAACAAAGAAAACTATTCATAAAATAATCTCTTTTCTTTTGGTGAATGAGGCTCTCAGTTATGGATTTAACAGATGAGACTTTATTTATTTATTTTTATTTTTTTAAAAATTTATTTATTTATTTTGTGTGTGTGTGTGTGTGTGTGTGTGTGTGTGTGGCCAGCTCAGCCCACCAGGGCGCAGGGCTGGCTGGCATGTGGTGCTGGGGGATTGAACCGTGGTCCCTGTCCTTTGCTAAGCTTGTTCTAAGTAGGTGCTTTAGACCACTGAGCCATCTCACCAGCCCCTCCAGTAGTCTTTGCTACATCAAACAGCTATGAGTTATTTGAGCAGCAGGGCTGGAATCATTTGGAGGGTTCTTCTTTACACACAAATTTTGTGTCGGGATTATACTTCTTCACAGCATGGTGATTTCAAGGTAGCCAGACTCTTTACACGGTAATACATGCCTCTAAAAGAACTGTTTCAGTGAGAAAGGCAGATGCTACATTCATAAATACAGCCTCAGGGCCGCACAGCATCACTTTGCAGAACTCTGTTGGCTGAAGCAGTCAGAAGACTGCTTATTGGAGAGAACACTCTTAGTGGGACGAATGTCAAAGAATTTGTGAGTGTGTTTTAAAACGGCACAATACTATCTACATTTCATTTTCAATTGTTCCTTGATATTTATATATTGACCTTATAAAGTTTTATACTTTTCAGTTCTAGTAGGATTTTGTAGATTTGAAAGTTTTTCTAGGCAATCAATAAAGACAGTTTCATTTCTTTTCCAATCTTTATAATACTTGCTGGCTTTCTTACTGTACTAGCTGGGACTATCAGTGGAAAGCTGAATGTGAATGGTGAGACTGAGGAACTCTGTCCTGCTCTTCATCTTAGGGGGACAGTATTCAATATTTCACCCTTTTGCTGTATGTTTTTTGAGTTCCCTTAAATCAAATGAAGCTTCTTTCTATTCCTAGTTTGCACAATTATTATCCTTATTTGATGTGGTATTTTGTCAAATGCTTTTCTATATTAAGATGATTATAGGGATAATAACTTCTGTTCTGTTAATATGACAAATTATACTGATTAACTTTCAAATGTTAAGCTAACATTACATCTTGATCAAGCAGGGCTACTGATGTGCTATCAGTTTTGCTGTTTGCTTGTTTGTTTTTTTTCCTTCAGTACTGGAGATTGAACCCAGGGCTTTGGCATCTTCAATCCCAGTCCTGTTAAAATTCTGAGACAGTGTCTTTCTTTGGTGCTAAGTTGTTCAGGATAGGCTTATACTTGTGAACCTCCTGTCTGAGTCTCTCAAAGTTCTGGGATTATGGGCAGGAGCCTCAATGCCTGGTAGATGGCCAGGTCCTCAGCATTCCACTTCTCAACTCTCGTTACTTGGGCTCCTGCATTAGTTTGGGCTTTATTTTCTCACACCTATTAAAACAGGTGACATCCCTCTCCTTCTCATTACCCTCTCAAAGGCTCTCTCTTCATCGCCTGCACTTCTGTAGTGCAATTTTAATTGTAATTTCCCTGGTGTGAATTTTTCATGCCAAATCTCTTCTAAGGCTTGCTCTATGAAGCTGCATTTGGAAAAAAACCAAAGTTTAAACTTCAATAGCATAATGAACAATTTAGTCAAAGGGATAAGTACAAAAATAATCATTTTTAAATAATGTAAACAAACTACATCTAGCATAAAGAATATATTCGATAAATGTGTTTCAATGTTTGGTGTGGTGGCACATGCCTGTAATCCCAGCGCTTGCAAAGCTGAGGCAGTATGATGACCATGAGTTTGGGGCCAACCTGGGCTAAATAGCAAGTTCAAGAACAGCCTAAACGACACAGTGAGACCCTGTCTCAAAACAACAACAACAAAGATGGGTGTGGTGGCGCATGCCTGTAATCCCAGCACTTGAGAGTCAGGTAGATAGTTGTGAGCTTGAGGCCAGCCTGGGCTACAAAGTGAACTCAACGGCAGCCTGAACTGCATGTGAGATCTTGTCTCAAAAAGATTAAAAAAAAGTTTCATAAAAATATAAATTCTTTTAACAACCTGTTGAGTATCAACCAAGACATTAAAAGATGTCTAATGTCACTTTGGAAAGACATTATTTTCTGATTAGTGAGATAAGTTGAATTAGGAAGTCACGAGTGAGGTGGCATTTGCACTGGTCTTTGAGAGATGGGTAGAATTCAGAAGGGCAAAAGTGTGAGGACAAGGAATACTAAAAAAAGGATTCAATGAGTAAATATAGAGAGGCAGGAAAATGTAGGGGACTGTTTAAAAAAAATGAATATTCTAGGTTACATGTAAACAAAGGTGCATAAGGATAAAGGAGAAAAATAAGGCTCACAAGTAGGCTGGATCCAGACCATCAAACACCTTGAATGCTAGACTAAGGAGCAAGAAGTTAATTCAGTACAGAATAGGCAATCACCGGTTGCTGAACTGGAAAATTAAGTGATTAGAGCAATGTTCTATGACCCTTTAACTGGAAGCAGTACATAAAGTTTAGAAGACTGGAGCAACTAAGGCAGAATTTCCCACTAGTTTTCCCACATAGTCCATGAATGGGTTAGAAGTATGCTTTAAAACAAAAATCAATCTTTCACCAGGTATTGGGTGGTACATACCTATAGTAGTTCCAGCTACTTGGAGTTGGAGGTGGGAAGATTACTTGCCCCAGAAATTACAGGATATCCTTGGCAAAATAGTGAGACCCAGTCTAAAAAAACTATCACCCCCTACCCCCGTAGTCCTCAGGATATCTGGGGCCTTGCATGGCTGCAGTACTAGGGCCCAGCCAGATCCAACCATGAATAGTCATGGATTTTTATCCCACTTTGCTATACAGTTTGTTATAAAATTTAAAGGTATTATGGTGTGAAAAAGCACTGTATCAGAGAACCAGAGAAGACCAAGAATGAGCAGTAATACAGATACACTATTGGGGTAGTCAAACAGTCCTTGAGGGTGATAATAGCAAAACAAATTTGAAACAAGTGAATACAAAAAACATGATTAAGGCACAATTAAAAGAAATTAGAGGGCTGGAGAGATGGCTCAGTGGTCTAAAGCACCTACTTGGAACAAGCTTAGCAAAGCACAGGGACTGCGGTTCAATCCCCCAGCACCACATGCCAGCCAGCCCCGCCCCCTGGTGGGCTGAGCTGGCCACACACACACACACACACAAAATAATTTTTTTTTTTTTTTTTAAAAAAAAAAGAAATTAGAGATTGACTGATTTTTTTTCAGGAAATATGTTTAAAGATATCATGCCTATATTTTGTATTCTGAGTAACTACTACAAAGACAATACACAATGTATTGACTAATATAACTCTCCTACTAACCTGTTTTGAAACTCAATTTTATTTTTTTCCTCTTTAAAATAAAAAATTTGTAAAAAAAATCCAATGTTTTAAAAGGTATGATCAAGCAATAGGTAGAAAAAGATAACAGAATCAGAAACACAGACACTTAGAGTTGAGAAGAAAGAGAAATTTGATGTCTAAGTTATCAGCATTGAATGCTTAGTAGTGGAAGATGACTGCCATGATTATAGGAATTATAAACACCTTTCCTTAAAGTACTTTTGAAACCCTTGATAGAGGTATACAAGTCTCTCAGAAATAAACAGGATTATTGAGGAAACTCATGCTCACTAAAATCCCTTTTCTGGCTTCCAGCAATGACAGAAATGTTAAGCGTACAGAGAATAGAGTCTTATAGAGACATGTACTAGAGACATGTACTGTTTTTAAGGAGATGGCTATATTTATGCTACATGTGACATAACTGCACAGGAAAATGGGAGGAAAGGCATGAATGTGAGTGGGAGGTAGATTCCATTTAATTTTGTTTCATTTTGAAAAGTAATAATACGTAATTTATGTACCATGATGTATCTTTCTACCTTATAAAATACCTTTCAACATATACATATCTAAAAAAGTAGGGTATTAAAAAATATTACATAAAGACTTGGGTTGGTTCTAACCCAAGAAACTCTACCACATTGATGGAGAGCCACATTTTACTTAGTTACAGTAGTTGTGCTTCACACAACTGGAAATGCTACTATCTTTAGTAGGAGAAAAATGAATTACATTTAAAAATAAAAATGAGAATATTTATAAAGAAGGGAATTAGTAGTAGTTCCTCTAGGAACTTGTTTCCAAGTAAAACAGCTTACCTCTTAACTGTATCCTATAGAATATCTTCTACAGAACAATTAATTTTGGCAATGTGATAAAAATAGTCATTTCTAGAATAATACCCAGGTGACCCAGGGTTCCTCTGGCCTTCCTCCGTACCTTTATGGAGATTCTCTAGGGGCTCCAGGACTCCTCTCCGGAAGGAGGCCATAGGGTCCTGCACACAGGACCGAAGGCTCAGCATGCTTTGCAGGTGAGGCTCTCTAAGAAGCTGTTCCCGATACGCTGTCAGCTGGGGTGAGCGGCACAGCAGTGCAGCAACATTGTGGACAAACTCTGGTACCAGGCAAGTGTAGGCATTATCTGCTTGACAATAGTGATAGGCGACCACCTACGAAAGAAAGATGGAAATGCAAACAGACTTAGCAGCAGCAACAGCTAGAAGTATTACATGAACACTATGCAACTGTTTTTTTTTCTCCATTTCTCGTACTTTTTTCAAATAAATATGAAAGCTGCTTATTTAACTGCTTAATTTACATCAGATCAGAAATGTGACCTACTATACATACACATGATGCCATTATATATGCATGGTATCATTTCTATTACATATACATTTTATCATAAGCTAAAATGAAAACCTACTCCCTCTGGGTTATAATAGGAAGATTGAAAATCAAGATGAACACTAAAATCACTCACATTAAACATTAGCATTATCACTAACATTAAATGTTATCACTAACATTCCATTTATTCTGCATAGAGCAGTATATGAAAGACTGATCTTGTAACAAAGTATAAGGAAGAAAATAATCAGAAAAATCACTTTAGTCTTCACAGGTACATATGCTCATTATCACTTTTTATTACAATTGTGTCGTAATTCAGATTTTAATATCAGTAAATATATTTTTTTTCAAAGTTTTATTGATAAACAGATAGCAATGAGACAGTTTCAAATCAAATCAGAAGTACAGTTTCAACAAATAATACACTGCATATATTCTTCTTAGTGGTTAATTGCTGTACAAGATGCGGACTTGTGATCCTATTTACAAACACCATTAGAACAAATCATTCTATTCATTAAGAGAATGTAACTATAAATCTATCCCAACCACTTTGAATACACAGATACAAAATGGACATTTATCGGTATACCCCATTTTTTCTAAGTTCCGTTATTGAATATTATAGGTGTGTAAACTCAGCAAAATATCCTAAAAGAGTCCAGTAGCCCAATAGCATTGGGTCTTCTGTTTAACTGGCAATGTCAGAAATTATTGACCTGAGTCCCCCACAGCTCAACTTAACAGCATGGCTTTCCTTCCTATATTTCATCTTCATATTTTTCTACTGGATGGTTAAGACCAAGGTAAAGCAGGACCTATGCAACAAGAGTTGTAGCTTTTGGGTCTGAGAAGGTCAGTGAAATCCCCTCAGGATTTATCCTGAGATCCTGTACCTCAGATTGTAGAACCTTTGTCAGTGCAGCCATGTGGATGAGTCACGGCCATTGCTTGGCCAATGTGCTCTCTGTGAAAGCCTCAGAGAGTGTCTTCTCCCCATTTGACTCTCCTTAGGCACAAATGGAATAAGGATTTTTTTTTTTTTTTTTTTGGTTCCTTGAATGCCTTCAGGGCACTTTTGGCCAGCGGGAGAGTTGTGAGGTTCAAACTCCAGCAAACTGAGGCTGACAGCTTTGTGGAAGCAGCCACTTAAAGGACTGAGCTAGGGCCAGGCCCCCTATCAGTAAATATATTTTGAGAGTTTTTTTTTTCAGCTTTCTGAGATAGAGTCTTTCTATACATAGTTCAGGCTGGCCTTGAATTTACTGTGTAGCCCGGACAGGCTCTCAATCTCTCTTAGCTTCCCAAATGTTAAGAACATGGGCATGTGCTACCATGCCCAGTATGGAGTGAGATTTTTGTCAGGGCAAGTCTCAGAAAATATGGTCTAAATAACACCTAAAGGCTGTCCTGTCTGACTATTTGGAACTCTGAATTTGCAGAGTTCATTCCTTATCTGTTTGTTGATCCCTTTATCTCCAGAGCAAGTACAGGGAATGATTTTAATCTAGGAACTCTGGTTCATTACTACCTAGAAAAGATGATACTGTCAGGGAAGAGACAGCTTCATGTATGGATAGAATCTGTCATGGAGGTCAGCTGATGTTGCTATTTTTATTACCATCACTTCCACGCTCCTCCTCCTCACTCATCATCACCTTCACTAAAGTTCCATATACTCCTTTCCAGCTATTAGCTTTGAATATACAGGCAACTGAAACTTTTTTCCTATTATTTTTTTTTTAGGGGAGTACCAGAAATTAAACTCAAGACCTCGTGCTTGCCAGGCAGGTACTGCGCCACTGAGTAACCCCCTGGCTTGTCTCTAGGCAACTGGAACTCCAGCCAGTGCCATTAAGAATATTCTACTGGGACTCCCAGTTCTTCAGGTATCTCTCAGACAACAGCCATCTACTAAAGCGTTCCTCATTGAAGAGATTTCTAATCTTTGAATACAGTCATCCTACTTCTTTAACACATATTAGAATTGTCAATATTTTAAAAATACTTGAATCATAAACAATTCAGAAAATGATACACAGAGCTGCACACAGGAACTGCTTGTAATAAAGCAATGAAGTCTGAGCATAATATAGATAATGAAAATAAAACGTCGTATTTTTGTAAACAAAACCCAACTAGCCCCCTCAAAAAAAACCCAAAAACAAACAACCCAAACAGACCAACTCTCATTTCTCTTACTTATCTATCTGAAAAATGGTAGGGAACCTAAAAGGAATCTTGTCAGCAGCTGGCCTGTCCTTTCAAATGAACAGTATCAGTAGTTATTCCCTGAAGATACAAATCTTCACTTGCTAAAAAGCAAACAGTAAAAACTCTCAGTCTATATCAAATTCCATCATACATTACTTCAATTGATCCCATACGACACGGCTAAGCACAGCTCAGCAAATCTGTTGTAATTTACCCTTTACTTAAAGTAAGGGTTTATCATTCTAAAGAGAAGAATTTTGCAATATAGAAAAAGAGTTCTTTTACTGATTTCATTAAAAATCATCTGTACTTGGTTGAGTGAGGTTTTACTTCACAAGGTCAATGTTGACCATACAGCTTCTGGGATTGCCCTTTTTTAATTTTTAAATATTTCTTTGGCATTCCAAATACAAAATATTGATTCCTTTATAGGTTTCAGGTAGAAAAACCATTCAACGTCTTTGTGAGATCTGAAATGTGGCTCAAATGGTTACATATTAGACTTTTCAAAGTAATCTGTAATATATAGGTGTATACAACGTGTCAAAAACATCTGGAACTTCCCCAAAATTGTCTTTGATATTGTCCAGGACATTCCTATGTATAAAAACAGGAAATAAGCCTGGTAATATAGATTATTTCCATCAGTCTGTTACTGTACCAGTTCTCAGTAGCAGATTTATAAAGCACTCCCTGTGGCTTTGAGGAAGTTATATCCACCTATACATGGTCACTATTATAATTTCTTAGAAATGGCTCAGAGTTAGTCTACCCCTGCCCCAATAAAGCAACATGTAAAACTGTTCTCCTCGGTGAATAAGTATTTTTCAAAATGATTATCTAAATTTCATTTGTTGTTAATTTCCTTTAGCTTTTATGAAAATATATAAGCTGAGAGAACAAGACAATGTTTGTATTTGTGAACACTGCAACTGTCAAAACACATAACCTCTTTCGTGTATTTCTACTTTTCTTCCCTGTTGGATTACTTTGAAGTAAATCCCAAATATCGTATTTCTTTTTTTTTTTTTTTTGGTGGAACCAGGGATTGAACTCAGGCCCCTGTGCTTGCCAGGCAAGCACTTATTCCACTGAGCCATCTCCCCGGCCCCGCAAATATCATATTTCATCCACACATATCCAGTCCCTCCCCGTTTCTCTCTTTTATTATTATTTTTTAAAGAGGTAGTCTTGCTAAGTTACTAAGTTGCTCAGGCTGGTCTCAAATCTAGGGGCCTCCTGCCTCAGTCTACCAGATTGTGGGATTACAGGAGAAGCATGCACCCTCGCACCTGGCTAAGATATTATTTTGGTCAAAATTACCACAAAACCTTGTTGCAATCCACTGCGTGCATGTATCACATTTTCTTCTTCCATTTATCACGGACACTTAGGTTGGCTTATATAATGGCTGCTGTGACTAGTGCTGCACTAAACATGAAGTGCAGCTATTCCTCCAATATGCTGATTTCATTGCTTTTTAATATATATTACTGTGTCATATAGTAGTTCTATTATTAGTTTTTTTGTTTTTTTTTTTTTGGGCGGAACCAGGATTGAACCCAGGCCCTTGCACTTGCCAGGCAAGTGCTTTATTCTACTAAGCCATCTCCCCAGCCCTATTATTAGGCTTCTGTTGGTTTTTCCATCTCCCTCCTCCTCTTGCTTTTTCCCTCACCTTTTTCGTGGCCCTTGGATTGACTCCAGGACCTTGTGCAAGCTAGATAACTACTTATCACTCAGCTGCCTCTCCAGCTCTATTTTTAGTTTTCTGGGGAATAACTGCCATCTAGTTTTCCATACTGGCTGTATTAATTTACATTTCAAAAAACAATGTACAAGAGTTTTCCTTCCTTTGCATCTCTGCCAACACTTACTTTTCATTTTTTCAATAAAAGCTATCCTAAGAAGTATAAGATTATATTGTAGTTTTAATTTGTATTTCCCCAGTGAGCATTTTTCATGTACTTTCTGGCCTTTGCATATCTTCTTTTAAGAAATATTTTTTCAAGTCTGTGTTAGTTTTATTTCACTGTAAATAAATACCTGAGATGATCAACTCGTAACGAGAAAAGACTTACTTTGCCTCACAGTTTCAGTCTGCAAGTGAGAGGCCTAGTGCTTTGGACCTACGGCAAGGCAGTAGCACATCACGGCAAAGGTGCATGGTGAAACAAAACTGCTCCCCTCATGGCCGGTGGGGGGAGGAAGAGGTGGAGGCCGGGCTATGCCCTGTAAAGGAGCACCCTCCACGTGTGGAAGACCTGCCACTGGGGTCCAGCTCTTCACATTTCTATTGTCTACTGCAGCACCAGCATAGGACCACGCCCTTAGCACATGGGCCTTCCAGAACCCACTTACAGCAAGGTCCTTCATCCACTTTCTAATCAAGATGTTTTCTTGTTATAGAGTTAAATTATATGGTCTGGATATTAAGCAATACTTAATCAGATGTGCAGTTTACAAATATTTTCTCCTATTCTGTGAACTGTCTTTTTACCTTCTTATTTCCTTTGCTATGCAAAAGCTTTTGAGTTTCATGCCATCTCATTTGTCTATTTTTGCATTTGTAACAATATTTTAGGGTATGTTGTGAATATTTTCTCTCAATTTTAAAGTTGTCTTCTTGGCTTTGTTTCTAGTATTTTATTTT